ACTGGGATAAGCATGATTATTATAGTTCATCCAATAATTGATTTGATTATTGTTCAACCTTTCTTTTCTGAATATTTCTGTTATTTATGTAACTTAGGGCACTATGATAGGCCTAATTAATATTTTGGCTGAAGTTCCCTGAATTTCACAAGCGAAGGGAAATAAATCTTGTTATTTTATCTTTTTTTCAGACCACAGCTAGGTCAATACTTCAATTTAATGCAGCATGAAATCTAGTAAAATAAGAGATAAAGAGCCGTTCACTTTTAATGAAACTAAGAAACTAAAGAGTCCTATTAGGTATGGTTTTCTGTGATTTTGATATATTTAAATATAAATTATTAAAGTATTTAATGTGATGTCTAAGATCAATGGCAAATTTTCATGAATTTCTGTCCACCTTTAATTTAAGATAATTCTTGATAGAAGTTTAAAGAGTAGTGTTTTGGACCTAGCTATTGAACTTAGATTAAAGAAGAGACTGTGTTTTTATATTCTGGATTTTAGGTCAAAGGATGAAGGTCATTATTTTGAAAATATCAGTAAGATCAGAAGAAGAAGAGAATCAGTAGAATGTAATAAGGTGAGACATTTTAGAAATGTTTTTTTCAGGTGATTAAGTGATAAATATTCCAATGAAGGACTATTGAATCAAACTTGTCCAAAACAAAATTAAAATTGTCATAAAAAATTGAGCACAGTATAGTACGATGTCATATAGAATTTGTAGACATATCTATAATGTTGATAGCCCACCTTATGTTCTTCAAATGACAATCATCTGATTGATGAAGTAATTTCAATCAATATAAAGTGTTTTGAAATGAAAAGAAATCTCTGCCTCTCCAGTCATTACCGCCATGTTATATCTTATAAAGTGACAAAATCTCAATAGAATTGAAGTAGTTTAGTTTACTGTTATAGTTTAAAAATATAAACATTCTCTGACTTGAAACCACCTGAGTAATATGATATGATGTTTTGGAATAGAGCTGTTCAGTTTTGTGTTATATCTGATTGAAAAGCCTGATATCTGTACTGGCACTGTATGAACCCCGCGTGGAACTAACTACCATATCATGTGATATTCTGTTACTATTTATAGCCTCACAGACACCACTCTAAAATTCCTTTATCTCCAATTTTTATAACATTAAGATATTTTTATCATGTTTATGGTGTTTCATTTTTGTTTTTTAAACTGTTTTTGAATTGATATATTTTAAGGAGTATTGTAAGTTTACTTTGTTAATTTGCATGTTTTTTTAAAGGGATGGGAAGGGAAAAGTTTTCTATTGTAAGTTTTGTGATGGAGAAGTCTGCAGTTATGTGAGTGTGTAAAAGTAATAGAGAAAATAAGTGATAGCTTTATTTGAGTTTTCAAGATCACAAGAAGAAAACTGATATTATATACCTAATAAAATAATTTTCATAACAAGGTGAAAACTGTTTTTTACAAATTGTGCCAAATCAAAATCCTATCAAAAAAATTGAGTGGCAATTACAGCAAAAAGAATCAACCTTACAAGCAAACATGATCAAATCCATGGGCAAGATCTCCTTTCAAAATGAACAACAAATACCGTCAATAAACAACATGGAGCTTCCACAAGTCACACTGATTTTCAAATACTCTCTAATAAAACAGGTTAAAAAATTCAGACATAAAATGTAATCTTCTACTGATAATTTCACACAATTTGAAAACAGACATTATTTTATCAGTTTTAATGTTAGAAACATGGAGGTAAATTTAAGATTGGCACCACCACCTGCACAATGCTACACTTTATCTTAACTTCTCTACAAATTGAATAAACACTCACACAATAAATATCATACATTAAGATATCAAAATATACAATCAGAAAATGAAATAAAATTTTACAACCTGATATTCTTTACTCAAGGCTCAGACTGTGCATGTTAAAAATCCATCGGCAGTTGGCAATCAAAAATAGTAGGTTAATGCTATTGTTCTGGCAAATTTTCCCTCATTGCACTCTGCAAGGTGTTGCCCCTCTTCAATAACCCATCAAGTGTAGACATGTAGGATGTAAACTCCATTCATTTCCTTTTACTTATGGGCTTGAAATTAATATTCTATTGTTTTTTTTTTGCTATGAAATGAAATGGAGCTTGTTTTCTTTGTCTCTTAGGGCTGATGAAATGAAATTAATTTCTACATCAACTGATTTCTGCATCCTTCCTTTTAAGTAAGTTATTAGTAGTCTAATGCTACTGTTAAAATGAAGCCTATGATATTGTCCAGTAATTGTAAAATGTTGTCCAGTTGTCTGATGATTATACAGTGGGTTATTCTGAATAATATCAGAGTTTGGATTCTGTTTTTATATTTTGAAATGTTATAACTATAATATAACTATAATATAACTATAATATAACTATAATATAACTATAATATAAGAGATAAAACCAGTTCTGTTATATGTCTATTTATTGTATTAGTTTTTATTTACCCAGTACTAATAGAATGCACATGCTTTTCACATCTTGTATACCTGAGATAGAATTACTATGGTATGTTTTCATCTGGTGCTGGAATGTATGAACACACTAATTATTCCTCTACATTCTTCAAATTTTTACTGCATCTAATATTTCATATAGTTCCACCTTTTCTTACAGACTGAATAGAAGTGAAGGTATTATTGTAAAAGATCATTGTCATAGCACTACCAGGTGACAGGTGCACCATTCTTTTTGACCAATCATCCTTTAGTCTGAGATTAAGGTATACTAATAACGCGATGCAAATGGGGCTGGGGGGGGGGAAACGGTCACTATTTTAAGGGCCTTATATTATATAAAAGCAGTATTCGCAATAGTGAGATCATCAAACATGTAGTTTTAGTGAAATGGATGTCTGATTTAAAATTGGAATGATGCAAATTGATGTTATTGATGTCTCTAATACTCATTCAAATTTCTTTAAAGACTTGGACAGATAATATGTGAGGGAACTGGGTTAATCTAACATGATTTTTTATTTTGAAGGATCAATTTATCATTAAACTGATCTTGGTGATAGTTGTGATAAATATTCTAGGAGTTATAATATTATTGTGATTGATATAATCTAATTATCATGATATAAACATGACAAGATTTATATAAATTGATGAGTTTTTGATCAGCATACTGGGTCAAGCAGATTTCTGGGTCAAGCCTATCAGGACTTGTGATAAAATGTATCTGCCAGTTATACTCATTGAATTTAAAGATCCATATTCAATGATAAGACATCTTGATCTTATACTTTGACTGCAATGGCCCACTTTCTTGTTTCACTGAAGTTTGTGAATGCAGCAATTTGATTGGATTGTGTGTTAGCAAATACAGCCAATCTGACCAGAAAGACTGTTGAGAATAATTATGCATGAAATTGAGGCCTTGATTGGCTATATTTGCTAGCATACAATCAAATTAAATTGCTAACCTTGAAATAAGAAACCGTCTTCATTAGCCCACATGGTGCAGAAAAGTAGAAGGTAAAACTCCATTCATTTCATTTCATTTGAAATAAGAAAGAGGGCCATTGCAGTCAAGGTATAAGATGAAGATGGTGATCAGAATGATTCTATCCCATAAGATCAAAATGATTCAATTATTGAATACTCTTCTCATTCTGTGATTTCAGATTAAAATCTTCAAATGTTGTTTGTACTATATAGGTATTTAATTATATACACTGTTTAAGTCTCTAACAGACATTATATCTGAAAAATACTTATAAAATTTTCACAAAAGTATGTTGTACATGCACCAATCAATTTTTGTATGCATAACTTTACAAACTGAGGAATGATCAAAGTAGATCTACACTTTATTTAAATGATATTTCTCTGACCTTTGTTATGTCAAACTGGACAACAAACTGACCATCTGAACTTATATAACCTTCGTTTTTATCAATTAAGGTAGCCAATGGAATGAACTTTGGCCAGCCCCACCATGTTGAATCAGTCTTAAATTTCCTGGTATCAGTTGTTTTAGTAATAGTTTTACTATCATCATCAATATTCAATAAACTGATTTCCCAATCAATCATACAATAATCTAGTTTAGGATTATCAACTGATAATGTTACATTATATATACCTATATAACCATCATTGTTCTTCTTTACAAAACAACTCCACACAACATCATTACTAGTAAATTTATCTTTACTGTAATAGTTATTATTTTCTTCTTCAATATCATTCACATTAGATCTAAAATGATTCAGCTTATGTAAGTAATAAGATTTTGTCACAATAGCACCTAACATATCTATATTTACAGTAAAATTATTTTCTCTCCAGTCCTTGTATTGATACACTTCTGATGTGTCGATATCCTTCATTGTTTCACACAGTTGTTTTAGCTGTTTTATTTTGGGAAGTGACACTAAGATTTGTACACAGCTATCTTCTGTTAAAGATGGTAAATTTGTTTCTAGATCAAGCTGGAGATGTTTGATTTGCTCCACGACTTTCTCTCTAGTTTCTACCAGTTTTATTTCTGTTTGATCCACATTTTCTCTGATCTCAATCTGAACATTGTCACACTTTTCTTTTATATCTTCAATAATTCTCTCAGTTTGTTTTGATATTCTACTACAGGCATCTTCAACAAAACATTTCAGGTTTTCACTTGTTTCTAGCAACGCTGTATGAGTTTTTTCTAAGTTTTCAATTTTAGTTTTAATGAATTTCTTTGATTTTAATACCAGTTCAGTTTCTTTTCTTTTGCTGTTTCACATTCAATATTAATAAATTCATGACCATTGTGCTGAATTATGAAACATTCACTGCATACCAAAATGTTGCAATGGATACCGTAAAACTCTACCTCTCTTACACTGTGGTTTGAACAGTATTGTTTTACTGAAGAAGAAGATTCTCTTGCTGCTTCTGTTGTATCTAATGTTGTACCACTCAGTTGTGTTGTATCTGGTGTTGGTGAACTAGGTTGCTGTGTTGTATCTGATGTTGTTAAACCAGGTTGTTGTGTGTATCGTGTGAAGTAGCTTCACCAACAACTTCTGTTTTATCAGGTGATGTTGTTTCACCTATGACTGATGTTGTATCAGTTGATGTTGTTGAGCTAGGCCGTTGTGTTGAAACTGTTTGAGCTATATAGTTGGTAGTAAACATCTTAGCACCACCTACTGGTATAGTGACATCCTGTCCACACAATGGACAATGGAATGTCTCTATCTTATCACCAATATAGCGTTCTATGCAATCTAGACAAAAAGTGTGTCCACATGGTAAAAATTTAGGTGTTTTGAAATCTTCACAACAAATGGAGCATTCTGGTATGTTAGTCAGTGAAGCTGCAGCCATTTTCTTTTTCTAGATTTGTTGCTCTACTAGTATGCTAAACTGATTGTTACAATTTAATTTGCCTATTTTTGATACAAGGTTCAGTTCAGTTTTATGTACATGAAAATATATACCTGAGATATTCTACCAAGAGAAATAATGAAATGAAAATTGAAGTCCTTCCTAACATATACTGGAAATGTCTTGGTTGAAATTAGAACACATTCAGGTATAACACACACTGGAGATGTCCTGGTCAAAAATAGAACATTAAGGTATAACACACACACTAGAGCTGTCCTAGTTGAAAATCGAACACTCAGGTGTAACACACACTAGAGCTGTCCAAGTTGAAAATCGAACACTCTGGTATAACACACACTAGAGCTGTCCTAGTTGAAAATCGAACACTCTGGTATAACACACACTAGAGCTGTCCTAGTTGAAAATCGAACACTCAGGTATAACACATGCAAGAGCTGTCCTAGTTGAAAATCGAACATTCAGGGATAACACATGCAAGAGCTGTCCTAGTTGAAAATCGAACACTCAGGTGTAACACACACTAGAGCTGTCCTAGTTGAAAATCGAACATTCAGGTATAACACATGCAAGAGCTGTCCTAGTTGAAAGTCAAATCGAACACTCTGGTATAACACACACTAGAGCTGTCCTAGTTGAAAGTCAAATCGAACACTCTGGTATAACACACACTAGAGCTGTCCTAGTTGAAAATCAAACACTCAGGTATAACACACACTAGAGCTGTCCTAGTTGAAAATCGAACATTCAGGTATAACACATGCAAGAGCTGTCCTAGTTGAAAGTCAAATCGAACACTCTGGTATAACACACACTAGAGCTGTCCTAGTTGAAAGTCAAATCGAACACTCTGGTATAACACACACTAGAGCTGTCCTAGTTGAAAATCAAACACTCAGGTATAACACACACTAGAGCTGTCCTAGTTGAAAGTCAAATCGAACACTCAGGTATAACACACACTAGAGCTGTCCTAGTTGAAAATCGAACACTCTGGTATAACACACACTAGAGCTGTCCTAGTTGAAAGTCAAATCGAACACTCTGGTATAACACACACTAGAGCTGTCCTATTTGAAAGTCAAATCGAACACTCTGGTATAACACACACTAGAGCTGTCCTAGTTGAAAATCAAACACTCAGGTATAACACACACTAGAGCTGTCCTAGTTGAAAGTCAAATCGAACACTCAGGTATAACACACACTAGAGCTGTCCTAGTTGAAAGTCAAATCGAACACTCAGGTATAACACACACTAGAGCTGTCCTAGTTGAAAATCGAACACTCTGGTATAACACACACTAGAGCTGTCCTAGTTGAAAGTCAAATCGAACACTCTGGTATAACACACACTAGAGCTGTCCTATTTGAAAGTCAAATCGAACACTCTGGTATAACACACACTAGAGCTGTCCTAGTTGAAAATCAAACACTCAGGTATAACACACACTAGAGCTGTCCTAGTTGAAAGTCAAATCGAACACTCAGGTATAACACACACTAGAGCTGTCCTAGTTGAAAATCGAACACTCTGGTATAACACACACGTCACTAGAGCCGTCCTAGTAGTAATCTCTCCAGAGTAGTCTATGTATTGTAATTAACATTTTAAGAGATAAAACACAACCATTGTAATCTGTTGTCTTTAAACAAGCAGTCTGAAGTTAGACCCAGCACAAAATGAGATAGAATTCCAAGAAAATATCATGTAATTTCTTCGAACATTTCTTATAAATGACTTGTTGATTACGTCATTATTATTACAGTTTATTGAAATTGAGGCCATGTGATGAATAGACTATATAAACTACTGCTATTTTACCTGTATAACTTGTGTTTAGTCTAATCTATAGTGGTTAATATTGCTTCCACTTGCTTTTAATAAAATGTAAACATTGCAGATGAATTAGTTAATGTCCTTTTATAAGCATGTTGAAAAACTCATAATTCGAGACCTAGGCCTAGATATGATTGTCTGGACTGGTCAGGTTATCAAACTAATGGAGTGCCAAATTAAAGTAATTTACAATGATTTGATACACAACCTTAAAATTGCTATTTTCCATCACATCCATTTCCCGAACCTTTGCAGACTGAAACAGATTGTAAGATATAATGGGGCAGTTGTTCAGGCAGCAGTCACACAGCTGTCTGAGAATTACATGGTGGAAAATCCTTAATATTTAATCTTTATAGTTCTTTTTTTGGTCTGAAAGTTGGTAGAAGTAGCCGTCTCCTCTGCCTATGTGTATTTAACAGCTCTGCTTCAATTGTCATACCAAAATACTTATGCCCACATGGAAATGTGGACGTATATTGCTGTCGCCCCTGTCTGTCTGTCCGTCGGCCTATCCACATTTGTTGTATGCACAATAGAGGCTACAGCTTTTATCTGATCTTGATGAAAATTGGTATGCATGTGTATATTGATGAGATCTCGGTCAAGTTCGAAATTGGTAATAATCTGATGAAAACTTTTAGAGTTATTGCCCTTGACTTAGTAAAAACGAGCTAAATTTGGCTTGTATGCACGATAAAGGCTGCAATTTTTATCCTATCTTGATGAAACTTAGTATGCATGTATATATTGATGAGATCTCAGTCAAGTCTGAAATTGGTTATAATCAGATGAATGGTTTCAGAGTTATTGCCCTTGCATTAATTCAATGCGTCTAATTTGGCTTGTAGGCCTGATAGAGACTACATTTTTTATCCGATCTTGATGAAACTGGGTATGAGATCTCTTTAGAGTTTGAAATTAGTAACAATAGGTTGATTGGTTTCACATATTAAACCACTACAGACTTTGTTATCATTTCTGACAACTGATAGTGGGTCTATGTTATCTTGCCTGGCAATAAATTGAAGCTAAAATGCTCAAATTTAACACATGGCCTTTATATTTGGTGAAGGACAATCATAGGCTACAGTGTATCAGCTGTTTCACTGATAATTAAGTTTTCAATTGACTGTCTGATTAAGATCCAGGAAATACATGGGTTTTCTGTACAATATCAGCTAGTAGAATGAATCCAGTAGTGTCAAGCATGGTAAAATGTATTAATGTATATTTTGACAAATGCAAAATGGCGGATTTCACTTATCACCAAACGTCACCATTTTTTATCAGCCGAATTTCCTTATAATCCCAAGTGGTAATCGGAATTCCAAGTGTCGTCTGCTAGAATGTAGTCCAACAAATGAAGTCACGTAATCAACTAGCGGATTCCGTGTCAGCAGAAAATTTCTATGGAACACAAAGTGGACCATATTCTTATGTTTCAGTGACTTTTAGCAATAAATCACGCTACGTATCTTATTTTGTCAGTCACTGTTTTTTTTTAAATCGTGGTTCTTTGAAGGAATTGTCACTGGTTATAATGAATTGATATTAAAGATAAATACTAAGAGAAGTTAATTATACCACCCGGTATCCATACAACGTATTTTTCTAGACTTATCTATAGATCAAACATTGTACACGAAAATAGGTGACGCATTCTGCCGCCGTTGCCGAGTTGGTTGCTCATGAAATATGGGTCATAGTGAAGGATTCATAAAGAAAATCGAAATAAACCAATTTTAATTATCTTGTAGAATATCTGAGGAAACATCTAAGACATAAAAAAAAAAATTTCGTTTTTTTTTAACTTTGACGAAATTCGGTGTTGAATCCTTATATCCACGAAAATAAGTTACACCACTGTATAACTGCTTGTAACTGTTTGGTAGTTTTTATCTATTAATGAAATAATTGGTTTATAGAAACCTTAATGTCTGTTGTCCACATATATATATAATGATGTTTGTTTGTACAGAAATAACATAATATTCTCCTGTTGACTAATAGAATATTATATTTCTTCCATCTTTAACACTTTCTTACTTTCTGTCTTCCTTGGGATGAATAAGTCTTTGTTTATTTCTCCATTATTCATATCATATTTCTATCAAATTATGCAGAAAGATGCAGATACTAATGTGTGGTATAGAATTATTAAATGGTTCAAGCTTTGTAGGATAATAGTGTTTTACTATTCAGTATTTTGGTTATTAAAAATGTATCTTTGGTTTCATTGAAACTAATGGATTTTACAGTATAATTTAATCAATCATGCAATATTAAAAATGATGAACTTTAAGTGCGTTTTTAGGGGGTTGATTTTGGCCTTTAGTCTTATGAGTTACAAAGACCGTATGAAATTTCACTTTCTTTTTCTATCTTTACGGGCTTCTCCCCTGTCTGAATATTTTATCCTAGTCTAAAATAGAATTTAGTGTGTGCATGCTCTTGTAGAAATGACCTTACAACTAAATAAATGTGATCTATCTTCGTACTAAATGACAGCAAAAGTTATTGTAAAAAATCCATTTTGAACTTCAAATAGCAGTCTCAAAAGAAGAAGACTTGTCAAGGTAACTTTCAAACCTGGATAATTATGGCTGCACATGGATAAAAATTTCCTTGGTAAGCTGTGCCTAGCTAGCCATTCCCTTTACTGAGACTAAGGTTTAATTTATAGCACCTAGAACACAGATGAACCAATTTATTTTTTTTTTCATTTTGTATTCCCTAAATATATTAAGTATTTTTTTTCTAAATTCCAGAATGTAAATGAAAGTGAGAATATGGAAAGAGAACGTCACCAGAGTAAAGATGGCTTACGTAAAACTGTAGTTACAATTCAGAAAGAATTCACACGCTTAAAAACAGATCGAACTAAAACCCAGGTCAGTCAGTTATTATCCGGAATTCTATGTAAGAGTGTATTTAACCACAAAGAAATATACAAATTTGTCTTGATTTCTGTCAATTTATCAGAGATTGGACCCTTTTTTTATGGCCAGATGTATCTATAGATAAAGACAACAGTTAGAAGAGATCCCCAGGAATCTAAATTTGGATCTGTCAGTCACTGTATTAGATTATCAATTGCAGTTGTCATGTCAAAGGTTATCTAATGACCTATGAACCT